AGCTTTTGCAAGCGTGCTGCCACGGCGACATTTAACAATTGACTATTTGCATTTAAAACATATGTATATATGTCTTGCTTAAGCTACAGTCCCTCAACAACGGGACTATTTTTTATTTTATATTAAACAATATTTTAGTTTTAGATTTTCACAGTTTTGGCGCGCCAGTGAAATTGCGAATTTGTATTTGTAATTCGTCTGTGTTGCTTGAGTGTAGTTCATCATTACTACTACAACTCCAACCAGGCGCGGTGAACGCTAGTTCGTTGTTCCCTATTGAAACTTTGTTTATGGATTCACCCTTCAGTACGGCGTTCCACCCCGTTGCCACTGAAAAAGGACCAAACCACTTGTGTCTTCGTGTGTGCACACACTGCAATTATGTCTGTGTTGTTTTTCATAATATAAAGCTTTAAAAGGAGCGTTCGCCATAACAAATCAACGCATATAACGATTTATTCGCGCTAATGTATTGCATTGTGGCCAAGTTGTATATATTTTCACAGTCCTTACATAAATACACCTATAGATTGGACGTGCATCTCGAGTAATACTTTGATTTTGCATAAACCCATGACTGACAGTCATTTTGGGCACTTTTAACAATTACTTGGAAATTACGATGAAATCTCACCTAACTTGTATATATTCATGGTTATGTATGGCCAAAATAAATACCGCACCTGATTGTCGAAAAGAAATATTTCGCGGGGGGAGAACTATCACGCTTGATGTACCACGCTTGAGTGTCATTTATATCTGTCGGCCATCTTTACTTTATCTTACACCAAGAGCCGCGGTTAAGCTAGTTGCTATGCGAATGACTAGAATAATTTTGGAAATCCCAAAATGGCTCAAACAAATACCATGTATATCTTGATAAACCGACAACAAACTTTACATGACAGTGGAATAAATTCGAAATGAGAGAATCAAGACATGAAAAGTATGACAAGAAATAAATCGTATAATAATAATATTAATAAATAATAATATTTGATAACACCTTCGATGTCGCAAAAACAAATTCAACCAACTGCAAAACACTTATGTAATTCATGATTCATTTGCAGCATCATTTTCGCTCAACACAGCTTTCTTCTTCTGTAGTCGTATTAACAACATATATTAACGTGTCGTTAGGCTAAATAACAAATGCTCAGTAACATATATTCTTCTAATCTCTCATGTACACATTGTACAGTATGTGAACTGATCTCTAACAAGAATGTATAATATAAATGTATATAACAAGAGCGATATTCAACGTTACATACACATCTAGAAATACCCGTGAGTCAGAAGTACCATTCATCACAGGTTGTTTCTGTTTCTACTAACTCCTTCTCCTACGCACATTGAATCTTCTCACTTCATTTTGTGGGGCCATTGTCTATAATTACGGTTGAGTAACGCGCGCATGAAACACTTCTTAAATAAGATCTTCGTCTTACATATTTCCTCCTGGATGTCATGGCAGTTCTAGGGTGGCACGTCGGTGAGAAATGCAGTGATCGTGAGATATGCTCCAACAACATGAAACTACCGCATCCAGAGGACAATCAAGCAGATCGCAATAACTGCTGGGAGTAACATACACAATCAGGCTGTGATTGCGAACAACTGTGACGTAATTTGTTTAGATATTGCTTAGTGTGGTATCTGGTGTCGTAGTCAGCTTGTTATCTTTTCCTAATTTTCAGTTTTGGTTTCTCGCTTCAAAACAAAATTATACGATATTGAATGTTCTTACATAGTCAAGGGTACTTCTTTATATCATGAATAATGTTACCATGGAGACGAGCAAGACACCCTTTTCAGTCAAAATTCCTATTGTCTGTACACAAGAGGAACACGTTTATCTAGTATATAATTGGTAAGGTATATATAACCAAAGGGATTTAAAATTATTCCAGGCTTCATATATTCGTTTCTTTAATAAATGAAGCCATGAATAGTTTAAGATACCCAATGCCATTCCTCAGTATTCATTGTAAATCGAGTCAGAGGAATTATTCCTCTTAGTCAGAAAGATAAAAAAGGAATAAATCGAACAGCCATCTGATGTCATCATTATTTGCACAAAGGTTGGACGCGGTCACAATTTATGGAACCTGTTCAGGTAATGTTATCTTTAACACACTTTGTTATTTCAAGTGTCGCATTCATTTTGCTTGAAAATATCTAATGTGTAGTTATATTCATAGGAATATTATGTCACATGCGATAGTAAGGTATGAATACAAATGGTGACACTAATATAGATTTATATTTTAAAATAATACATCTGTATCAGTCGTTTCTCATATTGTGTATTTAATGCAATTATATATTTAATGTCAGTTGGCGTATTTGGTTTTGTAATTCTTGCTCCCTATCTAAGTCGTTTTTTAGAATGTATTATAATAATTGATTGAAAAGTAATTCATGCATCTTTATTTAGAATTTACATGAATGTCTCATGCACACTAGAAGCAAATATGTTTTAAATATCAGAACTACTAGATGTAATAATAACAATATATGTCTCGTCAATGCAGTGACCATTTAAAATGGTGAAACAAATGTCTGTAAATGTTGTTAGTGAGGATGTTACTGTAGCTGAAAACATAGTGAACTGTTATTAAAATGACAGTATATATTTTTACAGTTTGATTGAAACTGTGTTTTTAGTAACAGCAAGAAAGCACATCAGTTCTCGTTATTGGTAACAGCAGACCGGAGCTTTGTAAATATACTACATTTTCACATTTCTAATAGACACGCGTAAACGCTGGTTATTGGAATAATTACCTTAGTTTAGTTGCTTTATTACGGAAAGCTAATGTTTCTGTACTTTTGAAAATACAACCTCACATATCATTTTGTGACAGTCTCTATAAGACTGTAATGTATATTCCAAGACTATTTATGTCAGGTTCCCACAAGACCGTAAAACAAAATTATGACTGACATTCTGTATCAGCTTAAATATATTTATTGATACAAGAATTAACACATTCACATGTTTTGCGCAGCTGTTACAGTAATTATTGTCACCGAGTGCAATATAACGAGTATACCCATGCAATTTGCAGTATCACCCTTTCGAAAGTACGTGCTTCTGGTAATATCCCAGACATTGCAAGATTTTCTTCTAATCAAGATGTTGTTTCGAAGCTTTTTAGCAGTTCTAGCTTTTGCACTACTCTATAGTTTCGCAACAGCCTATGTCAAGGTAAGTATATATAAGTAAGTATAGTAAGTCTATTTTAAAGCATTTTATTGTAAAGCCAGTATAATGCGTAGCTGAGTACTGAACATAGGTAATGTGATTACAAACTAGTTGGTTTATTTCAGAACACATTGAAATGATTAATATTGTATTCAGTGCATCTTTTGTTATTTTGTTATTTTTATATACGTATAGACTTAGCAGTTTTGTATGTGTCTTTTGTAATTACTTTTATGGATGCAAAGGTAAGTACGGGGTAATTGTTACAGAAATATTGTTGAAGTTAAAGTTAAATTACTTTAATAAAATTACATAGATTTATGTATAAGTAAGCTTATATTTATGAATCCTCTCGTTTCTTTTGTATTATATACAATTACAATGTTATGTAATTACAATGAGTATTCCTTGAGGCCGGGGGCCTACAGTATTATGAATAAATTTATTATTATTATATACACACAGGCAGAAAATGAACTCACGGCGCAGAAGTCCCATCAAGTAGAAAAACGAGCAGGTTAGTTAATGAGTCAGTTTAGAACAGATATGTCAAACATATTTTATTAAAATGATAATTAACGCTTGTGTGGATGTCTAATAGCAATTTTGGGAATAGTAGAAGTAATTTAAAGTCGGAATTAGTATATAAATCTATATTGAGATATTCTGTTGCGTAGATACAAAACAATATGTACTAAATAATATACACAAGTTTCAACTGAAAAAAAATATGAATCATTACTTTGTTCTACTATTTCCAAAACCAGGATTTTATAAATAATTTATGAATACAGTTAAATTCGAGTCAAAGTATATATACATACTGAATTTGAAACATCGAAAAAACCCAAAGAAGAATGAATTACCACACCCAAATTGGGGTATACATCGATTATTAAAAACGTTACAAAACATACAACATTGTGTCATTACTGTATTAGTTTGATGACCCCCATTTTCGACATGGCAATATCCTTATATCAATCTATAGATATAATGATTTATATCGTTATCACAATTACACACTATATATCATATTCTAACTTAATCGTTTTGACATTCAATAATGCAATGAAGTTTTTTCTTTAGACCAAGCAATGAGTTATTCTAATACTATATTATCTGTTGCAGGTTATACCTTCCATTGTGTGCCTGAATGGTTACAATGCACTGCCGTGCAAGTTGTCATCCGGATACTAGTATTTATTGTGACTGACACGGGCGCACCGTTGGAAACAGATCTTGTAATATCTACTGAAATCGAATCAGAGAGTAATCCTGGCGTAGTTCTATGGTCTGGAGAGTTGACGCTGCACGCTGGAAGCTTTTTTGAGTCTAGTCAAACAATCTACCTTCCGGGCAATGCCAACACCTTGTTTGGAATAATCTATACAGATCCATTCTCATTAATTTTGAACCATGAATTACTTGGAAGATGTAAGTCAGTATGCTCATCTATTTATTACCAGGTTTTTACATAAATTTATAATTATTTGCTGTTTTGGCTAACCTATGTATAGCGCTGGTAGCCATTCCGTGCATCACTCTTAGTCATTTAAGATGTCTTTATGGATTCGTAAAAAACACACGGAACAGAGCGCTCTAAAGTTAGGTATGCACATTTTTTTGTCTGCGCGTGATATTGGCACAAATATATAACTCCGATTGGCATACTAGTATAATGCCGCCGTCTCGGCTTCCCCGGCTACAGTCAGCTGTTTCAATGTACGAGGTCATGATGGTCCAGATTACCGATAATCAAAGCTTTATTTGCTGTTGTCAGAACTTTACAAATATTTCACTGATCATGATTCATATACACCCCGACTGAACAGGTAGAATGTCATGGAGAAAGCTAACACGCAAAACCATAAATACTAATTTTTTATACCAGAACTGAAAAATAACACACAAATACGAACGAACAGTAAATATTCAATGAAAACAATCAAAATTCCTCTATTGTCGTCGTCGTAAATTACGAAAAGTCTCTTTCGTTTTGTTATTGCAGAGGTTACGGTAAGTGTTGATAACTGCGCATCATTGACAGTGTCAGTACAATTACGTCGGATATATTTGCCCCCGCTACGACTCATAAATGAATGTAATGAATTCTTAATAAATTACTCGTTCAGGGGCGGATCTAGGATTCTGAATAGTGGGGCCAATAAGTTGGCCGAAGGCCTAGTTAGCGAGCGCCGATGACGCGAAGCCCATGCCCTGGGGGGGGGGGGGGTGTTAAAAATAGGGGGGGGGGCCTCGGCCCCTTTAAATCCGCCCCTGTCGTTGGTCGACTTTACATCTTTTTTATTCGTGATAGAACCAAGATGTGATGACGGTGGCTTCATTGCGGCCCTCGCATGTTATCATGTCCGAAATTTGTTTTTGTTGCTTATTTCATGCAGTGATGTAGCCATTGCGGCTAGTTTTGCTTGAGCTGAAGGGAAAACTGAGTGTAGTAATGCTGTAACATTGTTTATGGGCGTTATGATTCGTCCCCCCCCCCGTTAATTTCAGCTCTTTAAGATCCGGTCAGGATCCTGTGAACACTAAGAGCCTGTTTTCTTGAACCACAATTCGCCCTCGGACTACCTTGAACTGTAGATTTGGATATAGAAGGGGGGCCAGCTGTTTTTAAGTGTCTACCCTGCTACATCTTGCCATTGACCAGGTGTGTTTCAGGATTTGGGGGTAGTGCGAATAGCTTTGGCGGAAAAGCCCAATGAATGTTCACTCGTCCCGAGCGCGTTTTATTGTCCCACTCGATGTATTGAATGTGTTGTTTTCTCGCTTCATGTTTGTTTGAGTTCGCATCTCATCTAATGGTGTTCATCACATCCACTTATATCCCCAAAAGACTGTTTAATGCTTTAAATTAAGTAGAGCCCTGTATTGAATTACCCACTGTCACGCCACTTATTTCTGTCCGTCTCGCTTAGTGCATCTGATTTATTCGGCTCGTTTCCCTTGCCTTGTTTTTTAGATCCGTTCGCTTTGGAGCTAGCCATACAATTGCGAGAACGGCTGTGGGTTTCTTGCTATCGAATGCATATAACGACTGCTCTTGCTTGGGTGTCTTTCAATGCATTTCCGGATGTTGAAAACGTGTCTGGCTCGTATTGTTATCCATCACACTTTCGTATTATGACAGAACCCCAGACCCCCCTCGTGGCTTTCGTTGCGTATGGAAGTTATTTTCGCGAGTGATGCGATATATCCTGCGGCCGTACTTTTTCGAGCGAAGCGATTGAAAGTACAGCAGAATACACCGCATATGGCGTGTGGAAACAAAGATTTTGATTTCCTACACAAATCAAAATAAACTACAGTACATATGTAATAATGTCTTGTGTAATTGTATTGTAATAAAATGCTAATGCAAGTAGAAGTCAGGTCAACTTCTGGTATTTAAAAACACTGACGTAGCTCATTTCTGTTTTCGAACCATTGTTAAATTCTTTGTACGACATACTTATTCTTTTTTTTTTGATGTTCTACTTGTTCTGTTCAACTAGAAATATATTGATTACTTCTTCAGTAACGTCGTCGTCTTCGTCGTGATGTTGTGTTGTTGTAGTCGGTAGTTGAGTTACGGTATTTGTAGACGGTAGTTCTCTCATCTCATCGGATAACGTAACGAGTTTCCTCCTCTCCTGTCACATCAATTGTGTAATACAATTTAGAATTAAAATGCTGTAACTATTGCAGAGAGACCAAACCGTAATGCTTGTCATCCTCGTTTAATTTTCGTGATTTTTATTTCGACTAAATACAGAAACAACCAAAATTTGTAGTACACAGAAATTTCACGAAAGCATACTATCTTCCGCGGTAAAATTTGTCAGACGAAAATTAAATTCCAGCTTGAACAAATATAATGTAAACGATATTTCGTGATGCATAATCATTGACATAACTCCAATGTTAGTTTTATTGTAAGGATAACATTTCGGGGGTTATTTTTTGTTATGCTCCGTGATTATTTAGTCTGTAATTTCATTTATCAGGTGACGAGGTGATGAGGTCAAGGGTCAAGCAATAGCAATAACGTAAATAATTGTATTGCTCTGTGTCACTGGTTACTGAGCAAGGCGTATAATAATTGTTGATATATCCATACTGTGCAATAACAATCCAGGCAATCTGATTGGTCAAAATCAACCTTTCCTATCACAAAAAATACGCCAATATCCTATGATGTTAATCATTTTACACAATATTTCTTGAACTATTATTGAGAGGTATAATTAGTCTCCGTTCGGACGAAGTTCGAAAACGGAGACTTATAAATCGGTCTCCGTTCGTTCGTTCGTCTGTGCGTCCGTCCGTCTGGAGTCATATTTAGAATTCTTCTGACCGATTCCGTTTATTCTTTGTATGTGTCTAGTACTTTATGTGGGACATATGCACATTCAGTGGTTTAGCAATTTGATTCAAAATGGCCGAATGACAGCCATCTTGTTTTTTAAAAATAATGTACTTTGGACATGTTTGTCAGTTTTCATTCAAACTTGGTACTTGTTAGGATACGTGTCCATGACAATTTCTTTCGCAATTGGATCAAAGATGGCCGACTGGCAGGTATCTTGTTTTTTTAACGCTGTATCTTGGACATGCTTTGTCCGTTTTCAGTCACATTTGGCACATATTTTATAAATGGTAGGATACATGTCCATGACAATTTGTTTCAAAATTGGATTGACAGCCATCTGACTTTTTGTCCTTACTACTATATTTTCAAGATTTATGTACCATTTTCATTCGTATTAGGCACATAAATCATACGTGTCAGTTTGCTTCATAATCAGACCAAAGATGGCCGAATAGCGGCTGTTTTTATTTTTGGCCATATTACCATATCTCTGTCACCCATGTATCATTTTCATTGATATTTGGCAAAATAGATACATGTACATGTCAGTTCAATTTGCAATTTGATCAAATATGGCCGACTGGCGGCTATCGTATTTGCTTAAAATGTGATAAATTGAACATGCATAGACATTTTTGAATCAGGCCTATGCTTAGCTTAATGTTGGTGTCTTTTTTGACATGCCAGTTATTCTAACTTACGCATTAACTCTGATTACCATTCACCCTCAGGGGTGATTCACATGCTACTGTTTGATTCGCCAATTACATGTCTCATTGCATTTTGTCACAGGAAGCAAGCGCCTTTCGCCTCTCAGATATGGTTATGGGGATATGGACGTTTTACACTAATAAACTGATGAACTATCCCTCCTGTGGGGGAGTTCTTTTAATGTTATGATATAGACGGGAAAGTGTAATCCACAGATAGATCACATCCTCTGCCATGTGAATTTAAATTAGAGGCATGGCAAACGTTAAATTGTATTCAATGCATTATTTTGAACTGATATTTATTAAAACTGCAAATTTGAGGACACTGCCTTCACCATATTATACAAGAGGGCGCTTGACTTGTATAAAGGGTCAATTAGCCACTTTAGTCCAGAACTAACAATACAATTACAAAGAGTTGCAATTGCTGTATTCCCTATCCCAGAATCTCAAATTCATTACACATATGTTAACATTGTAAGCCCCATGTAAAGATTTATTGTAGGGCACCACAAGCAAACAAGCAATCATATTCATGAGATGTATGGTAATGTAATATTAGTGCCTCATTCCGTTCATCAGACTTGCATTTTCTTAAACATACTTTAAGCAATTTTAGCAAGTGCAATAACATAGACATGCACCTCAATTTGTTTTAATTTCATGTGATCTATGTTTTTCTTTGGTATGTCTTAAACCGGAGGGGTTGTCACGCAACACGTGTTCGAATCTGTTGTATTTGCCACTTGGGACTCAAGTTTCAAGGACACGCTCGCGACAACCCCTCTGCTGTAATATGACGAGCACAAAAAGAACTTTCAAACATTTAACGGGGATTATTCTTGTATTTTGAAATCTCCCAACCCGAACTTCTTCGAGCACAGAAATGTGCATCTCCATATGTCCTGTGGTAGTCATGGAATTGACACCAACATTAACACTTATGTTTCCAACATTCTCTCAGAAGAGTAAATATTGCAATGACCCTAGAAATATAATTGTCATTCGTAATATGGTAAACTAAAGGTTCACCGTAGTTCGTAAACAGCGATATTTTGTGCATTTTAACCGGAACGCTCTACGATGTATTGAATACAGGCAGACAAATTACTTTCACTTCCTGAGTTTTCGTCCTTAGAAGCTGCAACATGGATTTCAGGGATATACATATGTTTTTTTTTCACCGTTTATTTTCACATTCTTTTGAAATACAGTGCCGAATTACTTTTCTTTTTTCTTTTCAGGCGGTCAAGGCAGCGGGGACCCACATATGGTGACATTTGATGGCCATAAATTTGACTTCAATGGACACTGTTCATATGTGCTAACACAGGAATGCGACAAGGACGCCCCGTCTTTTCAAGTCACCGCTGATTTCCGAGGTAGAAATCCTAGCACACCATATGAACCACCAACGAGGATGGTAGCGTTCAATATAACTAACTATGGAACACAAGTGATTCGTATAAATGAAGACAATTCTGTATTGGTGAGTTTAACATATTCACAGACTAAATCAACACCAGTTTCACCTGCATTGTAAATATTTGTGTTCCTTCTTTCACTGCTTTATTATATAACTCAATGAAACGATCATAATAATGACACAAACTACAATTCATACACATTCATGAGGTTCAAATCGAACACTTCTGTTAAAAATATGAGCACATCCTGTGCCAATTAATTCCTATGTCGTATTTGGGAAATAGTACGTTATATACAGTATATACAGTTTTAAAATCATGCATAATTCGGTTACTGGATAACATTTCCTGTTCACATTAATGTAATCCTTAGTTGATCAGGTCAATGTAAACGTACATGAGGCTGAAATATTTTGGAAGTATGTGTATGATTGTGCTTGTTTGTCATTGTATCGTACACATCAAGTATGGCACAATGACACACAAACATTGATATAAAGCATATTACTAGTTTTGATAACTGGCACGATTGCTGTTTTCTTTACAGATAAAGGGAAAGGCCTTTACTACTCATAGCGCTCGCATTGGTGACAATGAAGGATTCGTATCGCGCAGTGGTAGTAACGTGACAATATATTTGACTCAGCCTTCTGTATCGCTAAACTGGAATAGACGTCTACACGGCATAACTATTGGGTTGGAAAATGTAGACCTGTTTAGCAACGTGTGTGGGATGCTTGGCAACGCTGATGGTGACCCAAACAACGACTTTGTCATGCCCGATGGTAAGAGCACATCAGACGTTGTTGAGTTTGGTAATAGCTGGGCAGTTGGGGGAAGGTAAGCACAGGCGTTATTACGGTTAACCAAATAAAACAACACAATGACAATAATTTCCAACCAACTATCATAAACGGTCTATGCAACCGTTGGGATAGATACCTTAACCCTGAACTTAATAACCGATGAATTTGGATGATTGTTGCCAATTTTGTTCTATGTGCCATTGCATTCTTGTTAGTTGATACAGCCTTAAACAATATAAAACACCTGAGAGAAAACGCTGGAATAAATACAGAATCATAATTTTTCAAATTACCTTTTCATTTCATTAGAACCAGCATTCGAATGAACTACTAGTCAATTTGCACATGTTTCGTACGGGGAACCGGTTGTATTTTAAAGCGCCTTAGAACAATAAACTAAAGTTATTTTCCATTCCTTTTCAGCTGTCCATAGATCGATAAAGAACAATGAAACCGTTATGGAACCACACGGTGATAATTTATTTACATAAGTACGGGTGGCCGACGAATAACAATACGCATCTTAGCAAATATAAGTATGAACGATATGTCCAGAACTATTTAAACCTTTAGGGAGTAGGCTTTACTTGTTTTATTCGAAATATCCTATTCAACTGGCTATGCTTGTATAACTAATATAATATATTCATTATTAAATGCAAATGCTAAAAATACCACTTGTCTTGTATATTACGTGTATTACAAGCATTTAATATCTAATCATGTACAGTTTATATTACCACGACCAAGGAGACGGGTTAGTACAAATTAATTGGAACTGTTTCCGTTAGGACAGTGACTGGAAGAGGAGTATGTATGTCTGCATTAGCGAGGCGCTTGCCATAGCAATGAGATCGAGTTCCATGTTTAGCGTTTTAATTATGTATATTCGTTGTCTGTAATAACATTCAATTCTACACAGTGATTGTCTTTGCTGGATAAATTGCTTCGAGGACAATCTTAATTGTGTATGGTTTGTATTGGACCATAAATATTTCATATAGGTTCGTATGTATGTTGTTTTATAATGTGCGTACTGTGTATATGACATTTACAACTAGTCACTGTGAGGTTATGCTCATTACACGCTATTTTGAGTTTGTTTTTATGTGCATCACAACGCTTGTTGATGTTCAATCGTCACGTAAATACAAAAAAAGTTAAATATTTACAATGTGAGAGAAAAAAAACAAAAAATCATCTGCGAAGTTAAAACTGTAATGGCGTCGTGCTCTCAATGCTACTGAGGGGAGGGTTTAGGGGATTACGTAAATTCGATGTGATAGCAATATGGTTATATAAACATAGCGATCGCCACGGTTGGTTTATTTATAAATCAGACTATTTTTTGCATACCCAGTGCAACAGACCTTGCAAAGTTCAACATTATTTCATTTCAGTCAGACTGAAATGAGCCGGAGCGAGATCCTATAAAAGTGAAGCAAAATGCAATAAAGTTCAATGTGTTTTACAGCATATTTTAGGATTGTTTACTACACAGCGGTTATTCGCAGTTTTTACTACTGAACCATTATAACAAACACAAAATAAATTCGAATTGAAGTCGCTTGAAAGATACTATACACTGCGGTAGCTTTCATTCAACTGCAGACGAAAGGGCTAAAATGAGACGAATCCATAGAAATATGACGACGGTAGTACAACACACTTTTTGACATCGCGACCGTTACATGCTTAGGTGAATTATTTTTTCCGCAATGTTTAAAAACAGCATCTACTTGCCACATTTGCTATAATTTCCAGGATATATTTTAATTTTGACACTGAAAAATAAGGTTCCGATCATAGCGACAGTAGCAGTGTTTTCGCATTGCATAGCTGTAATCAGCTGGCAATATTACGGTGATCGTAGCATTACATTTCCGTATAGCAAAAAAAAATCGTTTACTTCAGTCTTGAAATGCCTTTCAAATAAGTGTGAAAACGTTTTGTTTTTTTAGTTTCGACCACAATGCGAAAAATATATGGCATATCGGCACCAAGAGAACAAACAAAATGTGCCCATGTTTTGCGTGAATATTAGACTAGACTGGGTATGAAAAGAATAAGCCCACGAACCTGTATCTATACCGTAAGCTGACAAAACATGTTCAAACATACTCAAAGTTATAGACATTAATTCTTCAATCACAGAATACAGAACAATCTAATAAATAAATGTATCGCCGCTTTCATAGAAACACATATCATTCAAAACAATTAGTCGTCCATATACTCCAATGTAAATATAAAGAAGGGTAAATCCAGAAGTGACAAATGATAAAATAGAGAGAAAAATTTGATTTGATTATTAACACACTGACTCACTGATATGGTAACTTGCATTCCATAAATGTTCTTCACATACATCAAAACTCGTATTGAATTGCATACCGTCGCCAGTTAGATAAAAGTAATGTGAATCATCGATCTTATAATTCTACATACACGAAGAAACAATATGGGTTTTTGATATATTCTATAATAACATATTTAAAGGTAATAATGGCAATAAAAATTTACAGGTTAAATTATATCATTGTATTAAAGTTATTCATATAATGGTACAATTAATTATTTTAATGCAACTATACTGACCACAAATACTAATAATACAATGGTCTTACATTTGAAATTTAAGCACTAATCTGTAGAATAAATGAGAAAAAAGAAATGTCAAACAATAAACTTAATGTATTAAGCGGTATAGCGTTAGTGAAGTTCAGACACAATTTCTGGCTAATATAATATAATAGTCTATGAAAATCACAAATCAGTTACGACTAAATATCTGTTACACATTTATCTAAATATCTTGTACTATAATATTATTTGATTGTCCGTGTGAAAAATCACATATGGTTTGCAAAATTGAGTTTCAGATTACTACGTTAATCATACTGTAAGTGCAAGCTACCTGTGCAGTGATTGGCTCTTTACTCAGTAATGCAGCTGTTATGGTTTATTGTTCATTTCTTTTGTTTAAGTCCAAAATTTGCATAGTTGTCCCCTGACCCCTGTCTGCCTTCAACCATGTGGCAGCTCAGTGTGGTTCCAGTCTTCTGAAAGTGAAGACGTGCTCTAGTTTCTTTGAGCCAAGATTAGGTACGGCACAGTGGTGGTTTGGTTTACTTGTCCCGAAATACGTCACTATTCAAGAACCGTGTCACATGTCTCGATGTGTATTGTAACTCATGTACATAGAGTAAATGGATGTCACGTGTTACTTGATGGAGTCATTATACTTCCTACATAGTTCTTGAATATATTCGTTCATGGAAGACTATCCACTGGTGCTATACTGCTGGTCCTAGGATGGAGGTGTTGTTTTATGCTAAGGTATGTATAATGATGTGAATACCTTATGGCTATCTGTATATTGGTACTATATCTACTCATGGGTTCCGTGTGTTGCAGTTTTGAGCGCAAATATAGAACTATTAATCATTCTTTGCGTACACACCCAAATAAATTACCGTGGAAAATGCATCATTTAATTCAGTTTGGTGACAATTCAGGTGATGAGGTGCACGAGGACGCCACACGATTCCAAGAGATAAATAAATTAAAAAGATCCACAACTGCGTATCATGGACATCTTACAAGGGTGTACAATGAACTATATACTATGATGGATAGGGAGGTTTCTTATAATGAACTTAGTAGTAGAAGATTGGCACTAGAGAATTGTTTGCCTCTTATACAAAATCATGTACAGAGTACCGGCAACTCCTACCGCCCTCATCTAGAAGTGTAGTAGAATCTGAGTATGATGAACAAGTCAAGAGAAAGGAACATTTTGATAAAAGATTTCATGATTACATGTTTCTAAGTGTCCATATGAAGACAGAGCCAGGGGATGGCGATGCCTATGGTTTTCCACAAGACACTAAGGTGCCAATGGTGCCAGCTGACGAACCCACTACAGTTCTTCCTTTCATGGTCTCTCAACATTTACGTTCTCCCAAGAGAAATCTGAGTGACATTGGTGAGTTTATGGGAAGTAAGGCAGGTAGTCAAGTGTTTGGTAGTCGCAAGTGTTCGACGGAAAGAAACAAATCAAGTACTTACAAGTCCAGTTCAGCATCCAGAAAAGCAAAACTGAAACTTGCGAAAGCTCAGTGTGATTTGGAACTTTTACAAAAGGAACAACAAATTAAAGTTCAACAGCAGAAAAACGAGGCTGAACTGACAATACTTGAAGCTCAAAGAAAGGTAAATGAGGCAGCATTTGAAGTGCAGAATATTGAAGATTCAAATGCTATTTTAGATTACTTTCTGGTTTACAACAACAAACTAAATCAGAGACAATTGATAAATATTTCCAGTCATGTAAAGCGTATGTACAACCGGTAGCACTTGAAAACCATCTCAAATCTGTAACAACTAATAAGCAACCATAAAAGTCATCTTTTCACGCTTCCAACAAGTATTCGCAAGTGCATTTATGTCAGAGAACAGTATCCATGTTAAAACGAATTTATATTTTATTCAGTTCTGATCAATAAGTAATTATTCGCCGTACGAATTCCAAAAAATGTGAACTGTCTTCTAGAAGCAGTCTGTTTATTGATTCGTACATAAACATCGCATTGATATGTTATAAATTAAGATTACTTTCTAGAAAGACATTTCAATATTTACAAGCGTTTACAACATCGGCCATATCTATGTAACGTATACTATCATGATTCAATATCTATAAATAATCATAAATAGGTTGCAATAGATATGTTCAAATATATATTGTGACCTAGAAGTTTACGCTGTAAATTAATATATTGTTTTTAAAATCGCAAAACACCAAATGTGTCCCTTGATTCTATGAAGTGTTTCCAAATAAAGTTTTAAAACTAACGAGATGGTAAAACCAATGATTTACATATGACTGTAATCGAATGTAATAGTAATTCGGATCGGATACCATGGTTATTCAATGCTAGTAGTTTAGTCCTCCTCGGTATTTATCAAATTAAAGTCAAATTGGCAAATTGAAAATGGTTCGACAAGAGGGTTATGAGGGATATAATAAGCTTTTAACTTACCTTTTGCCTGAATGGCCATCTCTAAGCGACCCATAATATGCTCCCCGCATGACGACAAAGAAAAGAGACGCATGGCTTCCCTTGCCCATCCCATTTCCATCCAGATATATTCGGGCACACATTTGTAACCTTGGCGACTGGTAAAGAAGCAAGGCGAATTGATAGATGTAGTACGTCCAAATATGGCGGCGTTTCTCTTGAGATTGAATTCGTCAATTTTCCATACCAATACACCATCGTAGGAAGCCATCTCCAGTGACTGTATTCGCAAATCTTACTCAGCTAGAATTGCGTCTTTTAGCAAAATAACACGGTCTTGAGATTTGATTTCTCTTTGAAGACAATCTATTAGACCTCTATCTTGTTTGCGTTCTCTCTCCATGCTGAGTATGGTTAGCTTGTTGTTCATTTCTACAATCATCCTATCTTGCTGTTTTATTTGTTCCTTGTCAAATTCATCACGAGCTGAGCTGCCTCGGTATGCATTTGTGTGCAAAATGTTTGGTATGTTGGTTTCTAGCTTTGAGCAACTCTTCTCAATCTCTTCTATATTTTCCACTTCTCTAACAATTGCTGCACCACTTTCTTATTTTCCCTTGTATTTTCAACCAACGCTTTTGTTTTTAGAT